TCCTGCTCCTCTGATGCTGCCTGGCCTGCTGTGTTCCTCCAGCTCCATTCAGTTTAGTTAGGTTGGGTGAGTGGGCAAAAAAGTGGCAGATGGAGTATAAGGTGCGAGAATTTGAAGTTCTCCATTTTGATAGAAAGAACAGAATGACAGAATATTATTTGAATGGAAAAAGATTGCAGCAGGGAGAAAATGCTATCTCTGGCGATGAACGGGAAAAGGAAAACATACAGGTGCAGCAAGTCATTAGGAAGGTAAATGAATTGTTGGCCTCTATTGCAAAAGTGTAAAAGTAATCTTGTTAGAGCTGTGCAGGGCATTGATGAGCGTGTGTGTCCAGATTTGGTCTCTTTATTTAAGGGATATATGTGCATTGGAAGTGATTCAGAGAAGATTCACTAATCTGATTCCTGGTGTCATTGTATGGGGAAAGGTTGAGTAAGTTAGCATGCACTTATTGGAGTTGAGAAAAGTGAGAGATTATCTTGTTGATGATTCTGACTGGGGCTAGACAAAGTAGATGCTGGGAGGATGTTTACCTTCATGGAGGAATCTAGAACCAGGGACACAAATATAAAAAAAAGGGGTCTCCCATTTCATACGGGGATGAGCAGGAATCTCATTTCTCAGAAGATTGTTACTCTTTGGAATTTATTCCACTGAGAGCAAGCAGTGGGGCTGGATCACTGAATATATCCGGGACTGAGTTAGATTTTTGATTGACAAGCATGATAACAGTTATGAAAACAGGAAGGCAAATGGAGTTAAGGCTACAAAGAAATCAACCATGATCCAATCACGCAGCGGAGAAGGCTCAATAGGCCAAATGGCCTACTCCTGCTCCTATTTCTTATGGTCAAATGTTATACAAAAATTATAGATTGGTTTCTGTGGCTAGCTAATAACTGGGAAAGTACACCAATTTTCTTGAAGAGTCAATTTGGTTTGTTGCTATGCTGAAACGCAAAAAAAATGTCAAGAAAGAGCAAATGCCCCACCAGTAGGGTAAATATAAAACCACATCACTCCCACAACCTCTTGATCTCTTTCTTATGTTATTGGGGCATGTTCATTTTGAAAGCGATCCTAGCTGCTTAGTCATTCTGACTATATTTGTTGGTGGAGCATTGCAGTCTTAAAAATTTCAGGTATTCAGAGACTTTAAAAGCCTTTGTTAAGCATGGAGCTGATCTAAATACAGATTCAATATCTTTAAACTGTCATGAAAATCACTATTGAACTTCAGAAATCTCAGTTATGCCGATATCAGGTGGCTGGGCGATGATGATCTGAATTTTTAGATGTAATTCCGTGACAACATGCTGCTCACAAAAATACAGAGGAAACTTGTATAGTCTGACCTGCTGCATGAATAGTTGAGCTACATAACTAAGTGATGGAGGGTTTAGCAGGGCAAAAAAATCAAGCAAAATTTGCACACATTGATGTTTCAACACAAGATCAATAAATCATGAATGCACAAATCCCATAAAAAGGTTACAAACTACTGTTTTTGAAAGGTAATTATGTGAAACATTTTCAGGCTGTTTTGTGGGAAAAACACAGCTGGAATTAAAATACTAATTCAAAACCCCAATCTTGAGATGTTGGCAATATTGTGCTTTCAGCTGGATTATGTGTCTGTGGTTAAAGCAACAACTCAAGAGACTTGTTCTGTTCTAGTTTTGCAAAGTTTAACACCCTTGCCCCCAATTTAAGCAAAAATATGCCGAGTTATCAGTTTGCTGGGATCAGAAAAGTCAGCAGAGTGACACCTCTTAATAAGTGTCAGCTCTACATCTAAGGGTGTGACTGTGATTGTGGTACACACAATCTTTAACCATCTCAAAGCTAGAAGACATGTTTGCCTTGTCACCTGTCACAGCACTGACATTTTTTCACACCGGATGAATATGTGGCGCAGTAAATACCTCCAAGATATTTCTGAGCCTTGTCACATTGGATAGTGCTATTTAAAAATGGGTATGAGAAATGGGCAATCATGAAGAAAGGTTTTGAAGAAACAAACCTACAAGTCAAAAAATGGAAGGCATTCCAGAAAACAGATGCATATAGCAAGCCTAATTAAGACTTTGAGCAGATACACAACAACCATCTCCATGCATGTAGTTAAATCACAAACTTCTTGCTGTGTAACATTATATAGAGAAGTCAGTACCAGATTAAAGCGTTCTGATATAAAGTAAAAGGCAGATATTTCAAAGTGAATAATTTAATGATCCTAATGAGGTTGTGCCAAGTAACTTCTCAATGGTTATAAAAGTCTACGCTACAAAATGATTCACCAATAGTATACAAATTTACAAGAGGTTGTGGCCCTGCGGAGACTATGTCTCGGTGTGGTGAAGGAGAAATAGACTTAGGAAGGGAAATCTCCAGGCTACAAATAAAGAGACTACGGTTATTTTAAAAAATTCTTTGATTCAAGGTGATGCAAATTCCCATGGGTAATTAATTCTAAGAAAGGAGACACATGCCTTAAAATATCGTGAACCTGGATAAAGGGATGAATTCTATAGTTCCCTTGCTGGGGTATTTGAAAGCAGGGGCACATAAAATAGAGTAGACAGCTGGTCGGTTGTGCTCCCACCCACTCCCAGCTATATCCACTATCACAAATTTTCAAAATTGCTGAACAATGACACATTTTGTCGAAGCTTTTCATCTTGCACTCATCAGGACAATTTGCAAGAACATCAATTTAAAGAGCAAACAACATTGATACTGTTTGAGAGGAGAGCGCTGATTGGCTGTTAAGTTGACTTTGATTCTTAGAGGCATTGCCATAAAGAATGCATCAGTTATATTGTGACTGACAGTTAAGTGCCAAGCTTCATGTAGTTTGTAAACCAGGTAGGGTGATTTTGATTGGTTATGGTATTGCTCTGAGAAATAAAGCAGAAAATAGCCATCATATATTTTGCTGAGTTGAACAGGTTTATAAAAGACTGAAAGTGGAGCAATCTGAAGGCTGTTATTAAGCAGCTTTCTTCCTTGGCTTAAAGACTCCTGGTATCTCTCTGTCTCATAAAGTATTTATCTCACTGCACCAAAAAGTAACATAAGCTTTTTTTTTGTGTAGCTTATATGTGCACCAAACAATGCCACTTGATCTTCAAATTGCAAAGAAAATTCGCTGCTAGCACTTTTTAGCTGTATCCTGTGTCCAACTTCTGTTTTCTAATTTATAGTGCAAAACAAAAAATATATGGTCCCTTACAGCTGCAATATGTGCAACTGCACCACACTGAAAGCCTGACTGATTATTCTGATTTGGTTGTCAGCATAAATCTTCACACATTTAGGATTATTTAGGAAATAATATCACTCACAGGCACACATCTAATGTTAGGCACTGTGTTTTGAGTTTTGTAAGTACAGGCTGGTTGGGTGAATTCAGTACCATGCGTGTTGAGAACAGCCCAGGGGATATGGTATTTCATATGATCCAGAGTCTTTGGGACATAGAGTCCACATCCTTGACATCAGAACAGCACTGAAATTCTCATAATACTTTATTCATTTGGGTAATAAGCATAACGTCTTTTTGGCTTGACAGTAGCATGTTAGTGACGAATGCCATTCCTGTTACCACTGCAGAGTGACAGCTTGAAACAGCTTGCTTCACCTATTGCTCAATCTTTTCAGATACCTTGCCTTGGGTAATCTGAGATGAACTCAGCATTTTGCAGGACATTAGAGTCTTTCATGAGTTTGTGTGATATAATTTACTCACCTAGCTTTAGTGCATCATCTTTAGAACATTGTACAAAGAACTGTACAGCACATGGATGGGGCCTTCAGCCCGTGATGTTATGCCGAACGTGACACCAAATTAAACTAATCCTTCTGCCTGTCCTTGGTCCACATCCCTCCATTCCTTGCATATTCATTTAAAAGTCCCTAAATGCCCCTATCATATCTGCCTCTACTGCCACCCCTGGCAGCATGTTCCAGACTCCTATCACACACTGTGTAAAACTTGCCCCTCACATTTCCTTTGAACTTTTTTCCTCTCTCCTTAAGCGTATGCCCCCTAGTTTTAGACATTTCAACTCTGGGAAAAAGATTCTGACCGTCAACCGTATCTATGCAACTCATAATTTTATAGACTTCTATCAAGTCTCCACTCACCCTTTATTGCTCCAGAGAAAACAACCCAAGTTTTTCTAGCCTCTCCTTATATCTTATACCCTGTAGTTCAGCCAGCATCCTGGTAAACCTCTTCTGCATCCTCTCCAAAGTCTCCACTTCCTTTCTGTAATGTGGCAACCAGAACTGAATGTAATATTCTAAATGTAGCTTAACCAAAGTCTTATAAAGCTGCAACATTACATCCTGACTCTTGCACTCAATTCCCCAACCAATAGAGGCAAACATGCCATACGCCTTCTTCACCACCCTATCTACTTGTGTGGCCACTTTCAGGGAGCTAAGGACTTGAATGCCAAGATGCCTCTGAACATCAATGTTGTTCAGGGTCCTGCTATTAACTATACTTTATATATTAAAATTATACTTTATATACTTTATATATTAGTATTTAATATACTATATATTAAGTATACTTTTCCTTAACATTTGATCTCCCAGCACCTCACTCTTACCCGGATTAAACTCCTTCTGCCATTTCTCCGCCCATGTCTGCAACTGATCTATATCCCGCTGTATCCTTTTACAAACTTCTACACTATCCATAACTCCTCCGATCTTTGTATCATCGGCAAACATACTAACCCATCTATCTACATTTTCATCCAAGTCATTTATATATACCACAAACAGCTGAGGTCTCAGTATGGACTCCTGTGGAACACCACTAGTCACGGACCCCCAGCTTGAAAAACACCCTTCCACCATTATCCTCTGCCTTCTATGGGCAAGCCAATTCTGAATCCACATGGCCAAGTCAATGCGGATCCCATGCAGCTTAACCTTCTGGAAGAGCTTACCATGAGGGACCTTGTCGAAAGTCTTACTAAAATCCATGTAGACAACACCCACTGCTCTATCTTCATCAATCACCTACCAAGTCTTTCTTTTGCTTTTCTTTGGCAGTCCTATAACTGCATCTCATCATAGAAATAAAGGAATGGTCTGGTAGTCTACATTTTTAATGCTGTACAAGCAGAATAATGTCTACTTTCTTTGTGGTTTATCTACTAAAATCATAGGGAATGGTGATTAGCAGGAATGAAAATTAGTAGCTAATCACAATGTACTTGTGATAAGA